ATCCAATAGCCATTATGACCTAGCACAGGTCCTACAACAAGACTACTACACTCCACCGGCATAGCCATAGTCTCTAAATGGCAAACTCCGCCACTCCATTGGCTCGTTGGATGGCCATGGATCAACGAAGGACTGGGACATGTCTGGGTCGGGAATCGGGTACTGGGGCTGAGCAGGAAATGAGAAAGTGAAAGGATATGGCTGCTGTTGCTGGAATGGGTGGAGACTGGGCTGTCCAGCCATTGGTGTGTTGTCGCAGAACTGACTGACTTGAGCACTAACATCTATTTCAGATTGGTGCTCTGTTTCGGGGAGGCGACTGCTGCTGGCCACAGCATTATCGGCTGCTTCCTGGGCACGACCCGCGCGTTTCCCGCGAAAACAGGCCCATATATTTGGTGCTTTGCGCCATCTCTTCATGATCGCGAAAAGAAGCGCTGTAGGCGCTTCAACAACTCGTCTTTTGTCCCATCTTGGGGCAGTCGCAAGTCCCATGCAAGATCCATGAGGTCCTCCTTCTTTTTTGCTGTCAGCAGCCCAGTAAATGGTGTGTTTTCGTCTCGGTTTCGCCTCCGCTCGTTTCGCTGAATCTCCTTGTCTTTAGCTTGTCCCAGCTTTGCATCCTTCTTTTGTTTTTTGCTTGCCTTTCCGCCTCCTCAGCCTCAGCCAACTTCCTTCCTTCCGCCGATGTCAGCAAGCGTGTATGGGACTTCATCTTCCGCTTTTTACTCGATCGGGCCGCCTTCGCATTTATCGATTGCTTAAGCATGGTGAGTTCTTCAGTTACCATTAAGGCGTGCCCCGTAATGATTGCATTCCGACGCTCTAGCTCTTCGATCCGAGCGAACAACACGGGGTCATAGTAGAAATGGCTGGTGGGGGACGACGAAGGGCTGCTGGAGTTTGGCGACGACTGTGCTGGTGTAGTGGTCCGTGGAGAAGGCTGAAATCGAGAAGAGGAGGGTTGAATTGAGGTGAGTGGCGCCCTTATATCCAGTATATTTGTGCTGAACGCTGGACGCCGTTCACAGTCTTCTTCATCCGAAGACCAGTCTTGCTCGGAGTCGACTGGATCCGAGTCAACGTCCGACTCGCTATCCGAATGAGTGTCAGAAGCAATGGCATGGTCGACTGGCGATAACTGGGGTGGAATGATTGGGACGAGGGCAGGAAAACTGGGGACCTCAACGACATCCCGAGCCTCCGTTGAGAACGGTATGCTCTGGGCGAAGTCCGCGTCTTGAAAGATTGCACGGTTTGGTGGGTACATTCCGCTCTTCTCAAATGCTGACTTGACAACCTTGACAGTGAATGACCGATCTCGAACGCGCATGTACTCCGAGATAAACTCTCGAAGGGGGATATCTTCACCCGTTCGAGAAGAGATTTCGTCACATCGCTCTCGCCACTTATTCGAGAATGGCCCAAAGACACCGACATCCAGTGGTTGGAGCTTGTGAGTGGTGTGGGAGGGGAGAATCAGGATAATGATATTGTGGGCTTCGGCAAGATCGATAATGCGGATAGTTTCGTGCGAAGCATGTCCATCCATAACAAGTAGGATTTTTTTGCCAGATTTGTTTCGTGCAGTCGCCTGAGGAATGAATGACTTTTCAAACCATTCAGCACCTATTTCATTATCAGTCCAGCCATTAGCTGATGTTGCGACACTATTTGCAGGTGAGATAGGACATGCGCAGTTGAGGGGAAATTCATACGTTATATCTTCATCCACTCCAAACCAATCTTGATGAAACGCGACACCAGGAAAGACAAACCCCGGTTTGAGGTTCGTCCCGTCAGCACATATGGTTTCAAGAACCGTGATGAGGGTAAGGTTGGCACTACGACGGATATTTGTTGTTGTTTGTTCGCTTCGCAAAGCAGTACTTCTGTCGTCCGGTCTTGCGTCCACCACCAAGTTGACAGCCTTTTTCATCCATGTTGTAAATGTTCTCAATTGGTATGTCGTATTCTTCAATAATCTTGGAGAGTTCTTCAAAGTATTGATCAACCTTGGGTTTATTGAAAGCCTGCTGCCGAACAGGGTCCATGGCGGATGCGGTGCGGAAATGAACCTCAGGATGCCGGTCTGTGAAGTGGGAGACCCAATTGCGGCTCGGTCGAGTACCATCATTCCGAAGAAGGGCAGCACGGTCTCGCAACTGCTTGGGTGTGAGAGGAAGACCGGTCCGACCACGGTGGATAGCCCACTGGACTAGAACATTCTCCAGGGAGTGGGAAAGATACATCTTGGCCTTTCGTGCCTCCTCCATACTCTTTCTCTTGCCTAGAAAGCGATTATACAATGTGGTAAATGGTATACCGTGTTCCCGAGCTGCCTCGGAAACGTTAGGCTTCCGGCCGTGTTGTTGCTGTCGAAGGAGTTGTTCAAGGGCCCGAGCTTCCTTGACAGCCTGTTCTTCGGCGTTGGGAGCTTTCTTCCGTGGCATTTCGGCAGGACGTGAGAGAAGGAAGCGCGTTTGTTGACTCCGGCGTGACCGTGTCGCGTCCATCACGAGATGATCAGCAGGCTGTCAAATCAGAGCGGAGCTTAGATTGTCACGCTCAAAACGGCATGGAAATGGCATCAAGCTCATCGCCCGGTAGGCTAATCTGAGGGTGAATTCCACACCTCTAGGCATGAATATATGCCTTTGAATATTTTCAGATTTTTCCGTGAACCATAAGTGCATGTATTGAGCTGGTGGTACTCAGCATCAATCAAGGTGATTGAGCGGGAAGCATCGTTTAGAAGCATCTCGCGATGGATCTCCAAGATTTTTGGTACAAAGACAGATGTTAGCTACTTAAGTAAACTCCGGCCCAGTCCGGGGGCATAGCTGAAGAGAGGGGACGGGGAAACCGGATTATCCGGGTCATTGTGCATTATCCGGGTCATTGAGCAACATAGTAAACATTGGGACAAGGCTGTAATACAGAATAATGAAATTGATAGAATGATATGTCACATTTGATGTAACACCATAGATCCATCAAAACTATTGATCTTCATCAAAAATGCTTCCATATGGAAAGACATATCTAAAAGCCATCAATCCCATCATGATCCAAGGCCCAGAAAGCTCAAAATAAATTAAAAAGTTGAAAATATCAGAATAAACCTGAATTTCTAGCCCTTGCCAACATCTTTTGCATTACACTGTGTGGCAGTAGCCAACATCTTTTGCATAGAACTAGCTATATCAGCTGACCTGCTAGGGCACCAACTATATACTGGTCGTCCGTAACTGCCGACGTAGAGCGCAGAAGGCCTGAGCGGCGTCACAGGCTCTGTCCCAAGGTGATCGTTGGGAGGGTCTTGATGGATCTAAGGCTTCTCACGAGTGTCACGGATAAATACCTGTACTCTACCTGCAGGTAATTTAGGCTTCAAAACCAATACCTGCATTTGCAGCATCTGTGGGAAACGGGTACCTGTACTCATGGATACGGGTACCTGCACGGGTTATCCACGGGTATTTTGAATAAAATATTGGGATACTGAGATATATTGACAATAATAAGAGCTTCTATAGTATATAGTATCAAGTAATATACTTATATGGACACCACAGGGCATAAGAAGACTCTAGTGACTGGAATATATGGAAGATAATGAAAATTGAGATCTTCCAGAGTCATACCTGTACTCTTGGCATCCGTGGGAAACGGATACCTGTATCCGCGGATGTCAAACCTGCAGATGTTTTCCTGCAGGTACCTGTGCAAACATCCGCGGGTGTTGACACTCGTGCGGAGCTTTAGATGGATCGGTGATTGTGCGGGCGAAGGAGGCCGTGGACGATGGTCGGGGTGGGTCGGAGCATCCGAGGGGGCGTTGGTCGGATGCACTCCGACGGTCCAAAGCAAGGGGGGTTCAAGATCCTTATCAGGCACATGGGGTAGGGGGGAGGGGGGGGTCCCAGGGGGTAAAAAAAACTTTTTGTATATGAAAGATTTGGGCCTTATATAGGTGTAAAGCCACTGAAAATATAGTGTATATACTCCAATTTCTATACTTCACAACTCTCATACTTATATCTATATACTTTCATGAGCCTGGATAGCCCACTCTGTCATAGGTCTATTGACAGGTAATTGATGAGAGGTGAACATGTTGAAGAGCTGATATAGCCTACCATATGTGTTTGAAGGTTCCAGGTACATACACACACACACACACACACACACACACACACATATACATATACATATATAAAAAAATTTGCAAAAAAAAGTTTCACAAAGATTGAATTTTTATCCCACTTTTTGATCACATCAGTGGTCACATGACGCAAATCGTGGGAACATATTACCCGATATGGCAGGAGGGGGGGGGTCCCCCAGGGGTCGGAAAAAAACTTTCCGACCCTATATCCATCATTCAAGACTTGAACCCCCCTTGGTCCAAAGGAGGCCAAAGTGGGGGGTTCCCCAGACAATGAATATTATACTAAGCCGAGGTTCCAATACACAGCGGCAAGTATTATCTCCTGTACAATCAAATTTAGCTAGATTTGAACCCCCCCCCCCTTTAGTCACCCATGCTCTGAGGTGCTCGGAGGGTCGATTAACTGAACAGTGGACCATTGGCATTGCACACTGCTTCATTTGGGTTGGAGTCTGTCCCGATTTTGCCAACTGCTGGAAAGCTTAGTATTCATCACCTAGGTATTTCCGTCCGCCGTCACCAACTCAATGCCCGCAAAAATAGATCACTACCCCAGACGTGCGGCGTTAAGTGGTACCACGGCCCTGGCGTGGCGCGCGCCAAGCACGTTCTGTCGCCGGGAGAGCACCTGCGCGAGAAGCCGTGCGCCTCCACGGACGCATGGGATCGACTGACGGCAGAACGGCGACATCAGGATCAGCTTGGCGTTGGCAAGCGCACGTTGCTTGCTGCACATGTCGCCATCTCAGCCCAGCCCAGCGGGAGATGTGGCGTGTTATCATAAGGGTCGGGCCCCGCTCCCACCCACCTTCTCCCCTCGTCCCCAATGCTCTCCCTGCTGCTGCTCGGCCTGCTGGCCCAGTCAGCCCGCTCTTCGCCCGCCCCCCGCGCCGCGCCGTCCCCGGTGTCCGTCTCGCTCGGCGGGGTGACCTACATCAACCAAGGGCTCGTCGCGTTCGGCCTCATTCCATCGAATGCGACAGAGTCGACGGGCGACACCCTCGGCGGGCTCGGGAGCGCGGTGGCCGTGAAGCCCGGCACGTGGCGCATGCAGGCCGACGGGACATATGCGGGCACGCTCGTCGTGCAGCCCGACCGCGGGTTCAATGTGTGCGTTGCCGCCTTTTCGGTCATTTTCGTCACTAAGAGCACGAGGTAGACTGACAACCATTGATTATCAAGCGCGGCGACACGAGCTGTCCTTTGTTCTTTCCCCATACACCGGCTCTGCCGCGCTGTCCTTCGCAGACGCGCAGAAGACACTCAAGCTTACATATCTCAACACCACCCTTCTCTCCGAGCGGAACGGAACCAAAACGAGCGGGCTCGACCCTCAGGCCATCCGGGCCGCGGACCCCGGTTTCGGAGCGGCGGACCCGACCGCAGACCCGCAGATGCCGATCGCCAGCCTGAACGAGCCGCATCTGAGTGTCGACGCGGAGGGAATCGTAATCAATGCGGACGGGACGTGCGTGTTTATTGACATGCGCTGCGCATATTTGACAGAGATATATGCAGATATTGGCTGAGCGACGAGTATGGCCCGTACATCTACCGCTTCTCGGCGGCCGGGCAGCTATTGCAGACGATCCAGCCGCCGGAGGCGATCCTCCCGCTCAGCAAGAAGGGCAAGCTGAACTTCACGTCGGAGGATGATCCGGACACGGGCCGGGGGGCGAACCAGGGTGCGTGCCGTGCTTGTTCCTTCATGCCTGGGTCCTTAGTTTCACAGGCTTTGAGGGCTTGACGTTGGACCCGCTGACGAATACGCTCTACGCGATCCTGCAGTCGGGCACGATCCAGGACGGCGCGGCGCAGTTCACGCGGCTGTTAGCGTATGATGTGAGCCAACTGGACGTTGCTGTGCCGCTGATCGGCGAGTGGGTTGTACCCCTACCGGTGAGCAGCGGGGGCAAGGTGCGTAGCACGAGCGAGCTGCACTTTGTCAGCCCGGGTGTGTTCCTCACGCTTGCGCGGGACGGCAATGGCCACGGCGGGAGCGGGACGGACGTGAAGTACAAGCACGTGGACCTTTTTTCGATCGCCAACGCAACCTCCATCGCGCACACCGACTTCGACTCCGCCGCTACGCCCGTCGCGCCAAAGGCCAAGCTCGCCAAGGGCGTCACTGCTGCTGCCTACGCGTCCTTCCTGGACATCGCCGACCCCGCCGGCCTCGCGCGCTTCGGGCTGCACACCGGCGACCCGGACGACCGCACGCTGATCAACGCCAAGTGGGAGGGCCTCGCGCTCGCCCCGGCCGGCGTGCCCGGCGCGCCGGACGACTATTTCTTGTTCGTGGCGAGCGACAACGACTTTATCAGCACGCAGGGCGTGTCGCTCGGCGTGCCGTTCGACGCGGGCGAGGATGTCGACAGCCAGTTCTTGGTGTTCCGGGTGACGCTGCCTGGGGCCGCGGCGGGGGTGAAGGCTGCGTTGGGGCTGTAGCATGTAGTAGGTATACCCAAGAATAGACTGGCCCCCGATCGACAGATTCCGAGCCGCGATCGGGAGCGGGAGCAGATGCGGCAACGTGCCGACGTCGGCATGACGTCGACGCTCCACTGTTTCGCTTATAAGAGGGACCCACATCGGCGCCTGCTCTCAAATATTCATTCGCCATGTCTGCCCACGTCTCGGTGCGCCGCACTGCACTACTTGCCCTCTAATGCATTTTCGTTGAAATCAACCAGCAGCCTTCAAATCCCTCGCTCTCCTCTGCCGACTCGGGTCCCGGCCCGGCGCAGCTAGCCCCACCCGTAAGCTGTGCCCCTCCCCGTCTTTGTCCATCTCATAGGAAATGCGCACTGCGGCCATAGACACATGCCCCGCCGACGCGCAAATCGGGCGGCCACTCGCCGCTGAGCGAGTGTGCCGGCGTCGAGAAGGTTGCACACGCGAAGCCGCGGCACGAGAGCGAGCACGAGCACGGGCGGACGGACACCATCGTGCTCAAGTAGGCATCGATGCTGGATGTACAGAAGAAGGCTGACTCGAAACGGCGGTAGCGCGCTATGATGTATGCATCAGCCAGTCTACATGTACTATAGTACTATACCGTCAACTAAGCAACTGGCATCTATATCCCCCAGTTCCTTCTTCACAACACCGTCAAGTGACCGTCAAGCAGGCACTCCACTGGGCTCCACATGCTCCGTCTTGACGCATTAAGGCTCCCCGGCCGGCCGGCATTGGCGTGGGCGCCGGCCCGGAGGACCCTTCCTTGGTCGCGTGTTCCAGCTTGACCCGCTTGAGCGCCAGCCCTGCGCCGACAGCGCCGAAAGCTGCCATATCATGTGCGCCGCTGGGCTCCGAGTCCAGGGTGCAGCCTGAGCTGCTTACCCATTTTAGTGTGCTTACTGGCAAGGGGGGTTCAAGATTCGAAACATGGATATAGGGTTGGAAACTTGGACAAAATTTAGCAACATCACAAGGATGCACAGCATCAAATATGGTATGGGGCACATTGGACATACTCAATTCGAATGCCAAAAATGGTGTGACATCTGATACGAAAATTGGAATTCGAATTATTTCCTAATTAGGAAGTTCTTGGCGCCGGAGGCGCCCGGAAATGTCATAAATTACCTTTTTGGGACAGGAATTTGAGCAAAATGGTGTGACATGCGGAAAAATTTCGAATTTTATAGCCTGTGTGACGCGTGACATACGAACTGAGTAAAATACTACAGTACTGTAAAAAAGTATTTCATACATGTTTTGAAATGAATACAACTTTTTGAAGATACATCTTGCCTTTTACATACAACTTTGAAAATTAGATACAACTTTTCACCCTGTGGACATGTACAAGTCAACCCTAAAGAGAACTTATCTGGCGACATGTTTTACTCTGGCTGGTGACATGTTTATACTTGATGACAACCCCCCCGAAGACATGTTCAACTTTAGGGCTCGTTCAGTAACGAGAAACCAGCGCGGTTTCTCGACAGAAACCAGTTTCTCAGCAGAAACTGAGCTTCTGAGCAGAATCAGTCACAGGTGGGTAACACTGTTCGGTTAGTCAGCCAACGAGTTAGCATCATAATATGCCGAGATTTGTCAATGTGACATTTATGTCACGAGCACTCTTTGCGTACTTTTGAGGAAGAAAAAATGCCCAAATACAAGTGTTATAGATTGAAATGCTACATTGGTAGCTTTGGAGTTCCATTTCACCAAGAGTTTCCCCCGTAACACTTGTTTTTTTGCTTGTCTTGGACACTCCGATGTACTCCGATTAAATCCGAAATGATGCGGTACTGATGGAAAATCAATCTGTGGACAGATCAACAATGGTTTCCAGCCCGCTGACAGTCACACTGTCGGTGCTCAGAAGCTCAGTTTCTGCTGAGAAACTGGTTTCTGTCGAGAAACCGCACTGGTTTCTCATTACCGAACGAGCCCTTACCAAGTCCAACTTTTCTGACTATTGACAACTTATAATGAGCAGACAACTTTTCCAGCAGCATCTTCAACTTTCTTAGATACAACTTGGTTTTTCATTTTGAGTACAACTTTTTTCAAGTACAACTTTCTTTCTGAGGTACAACTTTCTTAAGAGCTACTTCAACTTAGAATGCAACAACTTTGTAAATCACAACTTTCCAAGATATTTTTCAGGCAAGGTACAACTTTCATTCTTCCATCACTTGCCATCAGCGGCCATCAATGGCAATCAATTTTTTTAAAAAAAGTACTACATCACAATGTAAACTTGCTAGCCAACATAGGTAGAGTGAAGCATATTTAATCTGTTTCTCTGATCCACTGATGATATCGGATGATATCAGTGATGGCTGGCCAAAAAAGGTCTAAGTTGTGTCCAAATAAGCTGTATACAGAATTAAAGGTGTACTAAAAAAAAGTTGTCCAATTGGCTAGTTGTACCCCAAAAAAAGTTGTACTCAGAACAAGTTGTGCTTTGGAAAGTTGTATGCAATGACAGGTTGTCTTTGCCCAAGTTGGACTTGTCGCAGCCAGACTTGCCTCACCCAGGAAAAAGTTGTACCTGAATTAGGGCCAAAGATGTCTTATTAGAAGTTGTAGTTATCTTTGGCTAAATGAAAAGTTGTTTCTGGAAAAGTTGTGATTCTGAAAGTTGTACATGCTTCCAAGAAAGTTGCATCCCCTAAAGTTGTATATGCTCTCAAAAGAGTCGTCTCATGATGGAAAGTTGTACTCAGACAAGTTGTATATGTTATTGCTAAAGTTATATTTGACAAACATGTAGTTGTAGTCAATATGAAGTTGTACCATATTTTTTGTTGTATTTTTATGGGCAGTATACTGTATCAAAAGTTTTACAACAACTTTTCCCAAAAACAGTCAAAACTTAGGTACAACTTTGATTTTACCCAAAATTTAATAATACAACTTGTTTTTTTGGGTGCAACTTGGAACTTTTCATGTACAACTTCATAGCTGACAACTATTCCTCTCATTAGCAAGTTCACAGGAACATGCTGCAACTTAGAACTACTTGTTGCAACTTTTAACATGCAACTTGCAACTTGCAACTCAACATTTGCAATTTATAACTTACTTTTAGCAACTTATAATCTCTCATAATGCAACTTTCAAAAGGTATGATGCAACTTTTTAACTTGATTCTGGTGGAAGCATAAACTAGGAATTACTGGAAGAGGGTTTTAGATAACTATATATGGTAATCATTAAGTCATATCCAACAATCTAATCTATAATCACACTAATTTTAGGTTAATTTCCTAGTAATGGCTAGACTAGTTGTAGGCTAGTAGGCAATACTGTACTATTTCATTCAGTTTGTCAACCCCCCCTGCGTGAGATGTGCAACGAACCCAGCCTTTTGTCACACCTTCCCTATTAGGGAAATTCGGTCATAAGAAATTACCTTTTTTAGATGAATTTCAAGAAAATAGTACAGTAGCCTCTCTCTTGAATATCAGGCAAAATACACAAAAATATATCAAGTGCTTTTGGGGAAGCTATCTACCTCTTGAATATGCCTTAGTTATTAAAAAATGATTAAACAAATGAGCTTCTTCAAGTTTTACTCTAAGCTTCCACATTACTCTTCTTATCTTGGCTTAGACTCCTAGCTTGCTATTTTTTTTTATGAGTACAAGACTTACTGTAGTAATTAGACCACAAGTTCGCATAATGCGTAATCAGGCCAAAAAAACATAGCGTTAAAATTCCCCTAAAATCAAAAGAAAATTTTTTGGCCCTCTCGGGCATGAAAAAATTCAAAATTGATGAACTTATGGTCTAATTACTACAGTAGATTGGTTGCAGGATGAGATGTTCAAGTACAAAGGAGATTGCAGCCAACCACTGCAAAGTTGGTATTGGTTGTTTAAAAGATGCAGTTAAACACATTTAAAGTTGTAGTTATGGTAGACAGAAGTTGATAGCAAAAAAAAATTGAGGATGCAGTGATAGAAATAAAAGATGCAGCTAATAACTTGCAAGGTTGCCAGTATACTAAGGAAGTTGTTTTTGTTGTTTTGGAAGTTGCTTTCTCTTAAAACATATTGAAACTGATAAATCAAAGTTGTATTTAAAATAGGGCAGAAAAAAAGTTGAAAGTTGTAAAATACTTATGATACAGTATACTGCCCATATATTTTACCTAAGTTGTCTCTAATCTTTTTTTACAGTATGTCTCCCATAATATGGTAATTCACTCACTTCACAGTGCCCTTGCGTCGGGATTGATGCACTGGACTGTACTTTACACACAGTGGCATGGCAAGTTGATTTAAATTGTTACTATGTATATATATATGTTTATTTTAGTCTTAAAAATGGCACATGACAACTACAGACCCAGCACCAACAGCCGACAATACTCGCAAGTCGGGACGGTGACCTGTCACCCATCGGTTCGGCCCCCTCCCCCTCCTGCCATATAAAGTAATATGTTTCCACGATTCATGCCATGTGACCACTGATGTGATTAAAAAGTGGCGTAAAAATTCAATCTTTGTAAAGCTTTTTTTTTTTTCAAAAAACATACATATGTGTAGGTATATATATATAAAGGCATGTATGTACCTGGAACCTTAAAATACACCTACTAGTAGGCCATATCAACTGTTCCATATGTCCACCTCCCAACAATTACCTGATGATGAGCCTCTGATGGGGTGAGCTATCCAAGCTCATGGGCCAGAAGGTGTATAGGTAAGTATATAGGTAAGTGTATAGATATAACTCCTGGTACAACGGGTCTTGCCCTTGCGCGGCAGGCCAGAAAGCAGGGGATTTGACAAGAGACATCGAGGCAAATCGCACAAACAGACGACCAGGCTCCAAAGACGGGGGAACCATCTGCGAACCGAGTGGGGGCGAGAGCCCTGGATGATACAAGTTGGGGGACTCCATGAAGGGAAGCAAAAAGGAGGAATCCGGGTCTTATATGAGAGAACGAACATGTTCTATATCGAACTCGACAGAGGTGC